ATATATATATAAATAAATATATATAATCTGGAATCAGAGAAAAATGAACTATCATTCTCCCTGAAAATATACAGGATTTCCATTGAAAAATATACAACTTTTCTGAGACACGACTAGGAACTTGAACAAGGTGATGTAACGGAGTTGCCAAATTTGCTAGGTGAAGTTTCACACACATAAATAACATGACTCTTTTAGAAGGAATCAGTATTAAAAAACAAACATTTGGCAAATCCTGCTCAATGTACAGCAGTTTTCACTTTGGATACTCCAAAAATGCCTTTAATGCCTCGCGTAATTCCCATAATTCCCGATAATTGTGTGCGGTTCATTTATGGATTACGAAAATTTCCATGTTCCAACCAATTACCGAATATTGAAGTGAATGAAATTTTAGAATTTAGTAAACTAGCACTATTTAATTTTCATATATAAATTGTTGCACATGTCAAAGCCCTTATACCCAAGAGAAAACATTGTTTTTAGTAAGGATATGCACACTAGACCTTTAAGACACAAAATTATGAGTTCCACCGCATAACACAACATTATTTAAACGAAGTTTCTCGTATAACTTAGACACTAGGTATAATTCAATGGCTGAAGTGTATAAGATATATTCTTCGTCAACATTCCGCAAGAAAATTAAACTGTTTATATATTTAATATTCACTTAATTTTACCGTTTCTATATATTTTATATAGATTGTAATTCTTGATTTACTTATTTTAAGAAAAGGCATACATTTCTGTATCGTGTTATCAATCGCTAATTAATTGGTTAAGTGTAAGAGTAGCGAATGCTAAACTTCGCCAATCAATTAGTTTGTTTCTAAAGACGTCAATTATTATTGTAATTTCCCGTAATTCCTAAAAATCCTGTGGTGGGTACAATTAATTCCCCAGCGAATGATCCCTCGGTGACAGCTTATCCATTCAAGTTATCGCTCTGTGGCTGGTCCATCCCGTATCTCGCCGTCCATATGGCCGAATCGGCAGCTGCCATCAAATGATTAGGGATACGGTAAAAAGGTGGGTGGGGGCTAGGAGAGCAAGGGGGCACTGGCGGCAGGTGACGCACGTGCTGGTAGCGTGGTGAGGTGGCAGCCTCGGCGCTCAGGGGCACTTGCACGGCCACACTTGCCATCAAGCGTATTTTAATTGTGGGTCTGATATCTTTATTAGATTTGATATGAGGAGTTGCAGGATATGCATTTTACAGCCATGATGAGATGCAGATATTTGAAGCGCTGAGATTTTATAACACGGGCACTTGCTCTTATTACTGTATATTAATAGTAATAGGGACATACCTACTTCAGATTTCATGCTCAATTTCATCTGAAATATAACCAACTTTTTGTCTTAGACTGCTACGGGTTCGTGTCTAATTATGCTTAAGCCTAGCATAGACACTTGTAATCGTGCAAGATGCAATGTATTCAGGCGAAGAAATAGGTAGATTTGATATAAGATAATCCAAAAATTTTTGCGATAGTAAAGTCCGATTTTACTATCGATTTGCGGGATCTCAAATCTTGATCCGGATCATAATAGACCAATGAGAAGGCATCTTTCTAGTAATGGATCAAATGAATATAGTCAATTTCTTCTGAGATATCGGTCAAACTATAGAACAAATACCTGTATACCAGTCTCTAATCCCCATATTAAATCAAGAAATTCTTTACAAATCGCCTGATTTAGCTACAAAAATATATTTGTAGCAAAACTAGATGCCCTGTATATAATAGTATTTTTTATACGAATTCAAAGATGAATCACTTGTTAGATGTATATTTTCTTGGTTATAAGGAAAATGTGATTGTTCTGTTTTTCATTTTATTTTTATAAGCAGGCGTTGCAACCAAATGCTTGACTTGACGTAAATACCTGTCACCGAATTTTGTTATTATTGTGCATTGTTAATATTGCTGTATTATCGTCAGAGATGCCAGGCGGTCATTTTCGCAATGACGAAAATTTCGACATGCTGACGTGCTACTAAAATACTAAAAATACTGCAGAAATGCATCTTGACAAATTTCCAGAAAGAAGGGAGCCACGTAAGCTCATTTTCTTGGAGCTGGCTCCATATTTCAATGAGTATGATGGTTCATTCAAAAAGAGTGTTTCGTCTCAAAAACAGGAATATTTAGAGGAAACTCAGAATAGTATCTTACAAGTAGTTGCTGAGTTACCAACTAGTCAAATTGAGAAATTGTGCTCAAGAAAATCTGCGGGCTAAAAAAAGTATCCAGACATCAAGAACGTTTTGGGTTTAATATGTGGTGTAAATTCTTGGGACCAAAATATCAGGTACTTTTATTTACCACAACTTATTATCTGCAGTACCTTCAAATCAGGATAATATCTGTTGGTTTTAACAAGACCTCCTGCACTATTTTTCGCCTTAAACTTGCCCCTAGCACTAATTATACTCTTTCAAGGTTTTCCACAACTTTCACAAAATCTCCTCTCGATTTATCATTTTTTTCTTGGTAATAGTATCTCTACTGACAACAACTCGTGTGTTTTTACACGTTTGTGTTCGGTATCTTTGCTCGATTTGCCAACTTCCCGTTTTATTGAGGTTTCAGGCTATTTTGTCATTCAAATGTCACCGGGAATGAGTGCGATGGACAACATGATTATTTAACTAAGAGCAAAGGTCCACCGGACCGCTCTGACAAATAATGACGAATAGTATAGTAGTATGATTATAAACTTTCAAGAATTAACAATATATGTATAGTTTTGCGTTGCATCTTCAGATTGGGTGAGCTTTTTTAGGCAGAAAAGGTGTGATATAAATTATTATTTAGCAATTGCCCAATTTTCTCACCAAGTATTCGTCCATGTTTACATTTCCATCATCTGCCACTAGTAAATAATTCAAAAACCCATCAGCAATCCAACATCCGTTTCCGTTTCTCGACATCCACAAGATTCGTTCCCGGGTAATGCTCGTTTCAGATGCACACCGTCGCTTTAGCCATTTCTTATTCTGTAGGTGTACTGTTAATTTCCTCAAGTTCAGTTCAGTTTTTCCTTGGTTCACTATGTAAATACTCGATGAAAGGTGGTAGTAGAATTACCACAAACAGCCAACTGATACAACCGTGTAGAATATTGGAAGCTAATTTACAAGATATGGTGCTTTATAAGCGTGGGTCATCCAATCCAGATAAGTGCGGTGGTACGAGTACAGGCTGTTAAGGACTGTTTTACCGTACGCTTATACAAGCTTACAGGGAAAGTCGTGGAGAACATTTAAGGACATTGTAACTGGTGATTCATTCATGTGTACTTTTGAAAAAGTAATGAAAACGATAAACTTTATCGGGTTACATTTATTATCGAAGAAAACATTCAGTTTCTTCCTTTCAAAAGTTTGATGATAGTGGTATGCCAACTAACATTTCAAATTATGATTACGTTAATTCGACCCGCAAAAAAAACGTAAAAAATATTGCAAGACCAATTTAAAAAAGATTATATTTACTTCTGTTTGCCTTTTTCCTTAAGGTTTTACCAATAAGTGAAACATACTATGTTGCTCTCTCTTGCTCATACATACAGTTGGTAATCTATTCGTTAAAAATAATATTAGCTGTTGATGTACGAGTACTTGTGTATAGCCAAGTATGTTAAAGAAATGGCTTCTATGTGTGGTGAATGAATCTTGAAATTAGAGGCATTCCGGCCACCATAAGGAGCCAGTGCATAGGCCGCTTAAGTGGGCCCTTATTCACCTCTACATTCCTTAGATCACAAGCCTCGCCCTTTTAGCGAAGTTGAGAATCGCCTTGAGTCCAAGCTCCTTGATGTCCTGAGGTTCCAAAGTAATGGACCCCAGTATAGTCTGCCTATAGTAGCTCAGAGCTTCACAGCGACACAAAACGTGCGCCGAGGTCTCTTCCTCTACCCCGCAGCGTTCACACAAGGGGTCCTCAGCCACCCCCATCGCGTGCAGGAAGCGCCTTAACGTGTTATGGCCAGACAACAGTCCCACCAGCAACCTTAGGTTGGCTCTATCCAGAGATAAGCAGAAACGTCCATCCTTAGCACTAGGCCCTTCAATGAGTTCCCGTGCCTGGCGGAGATGTCTGGAGATACTTCTCCATTTCTGAGAGTGTTGTCTTGCAACCCACGTCTCCATTTTCCTCCTAGCTTTATGCGCGGTCACTCCTAGAGTTGGCTCAGGACCAACGAGCTTGCTAGCTGATCCTGTCATCACCAGAGTGTCCGCCGTCTCATTGCCTCTTATCCCAGCGTGCCCTGGTACCCATATTAACGATACCGGATGCCTCGCTGCGAGGCAATCCAGAGCCTCCCTGCATTGCAATACAAGACTCGAAGTAATCTTACAGTCACTTAGTGCTTTCATTGCAGCCTGGCTGTCGGATAAGATTGTTATTCTTCTCGTAGGCCCATCCTCCTCCAGAATGTGAGATACACAAGCCAGAATCGCAAAGACTTCCGCCTGGAAAATAGTGGTGTATCTACCGAGAGGCAGAGATGGCCTAGTTCTAGGCCCAGAGACCCCAGCACCTGAGCCCTCTTCGGTGACCTAGCCGTCCGTGTACCAGACCTGCCCGCTCACTCAGTAGAGTCCCCGGCTACCGACGTCCCACTCCTCCGTCGTTGGATACTCCACAATAAACTTGCGGTTGAAGCGATATTTAGGGGTAACATGATATGTGAACAATCAGTTAAGGTTCATGTTTTAATATTAAAAAGAGATTATACCCAATATGACCGTTTCCAGAATTTTGACCTGTAGGCGTTTTTCCTCATCAATTATAACCAATAGTACATCTTTACCACGATGCAGGTCGAAAAAGTTAGCCCCTTATAGTTGAGTTTACCCTATTTCAGACCTAATAATTACTTAGAGGCCAAATTCCAAATCAAGGTGAAACAAGGTCTGGGTTTTTATTTTTGGACAAACAATTTGACATTAAATAATTTTTCAGATTGCTGTCAAAGTAGTCTGTATTTATTAGTTTCCCGTTGCTCAATTACAACCGTTACCTAATCCTACGAAAGAGAGAGACAGAGACATGGGCCTATCGGTGTGTATTCATTAGTATCTATCATTTGATAGTTCTGTGGTGTATACGCCACTATACTGTGTTTTTTTAAAATCGCGTATTTAGCTTGTTTCAAAGATCAAAAACGAACCAAACCTAACCAAAGATCACTCCAAAATTATGTTCTGTATTACATACAGAATCCGAATATAGAGCGGGACGCACCATTACTATAATACATCCGAATTGAACGCGCATGCGCGTTTTAAAAAACTGTGATAGGTGATTCTCCTTTAACAACAGGGTTGTATTGTGAGGTATGCCTATACACCTTAGGCCTCTCCCGGTTTAAATTTTTAGACATCTTCTAAATTAGATTTAAATATGAAACAGTCGTCAAAGATCAGTAGGGGGGATGATTCAACCAAATTTGACATGAAAGGCTATTTTGGGCACTATTACAATGAAGGCAATTTACATGTAATTTTAACTCTAGTTACGACACCTCTACTTACAAGTTCCTGAAAGTAAAAATGTTTCCTTCAAAGTTAGTGTCATTGTCGAAATCTAGACGAACATTTACTAAAAGAATCCTTGTAACCTCAAGGTGCACAACATGGTTATTTAGTAGACATATTGAATTGTTTTTACCAATCTATACCACAAACTTACAAGGATTTTTTATTGGTTATTAATCAGATAAAATTTTTACTTATCAATGTGCCCTAAAAAGGACGTAACATTGAAGATATATTTTAGGTTAATAAGTCAAGAATTGTGTAAGTACTTTTTAGAAGTGTGTTCGTTGTAGTTCTGAACCAACCAATTTAATCTGATTTGGTACGTAGTTACCAATTTTTGGCAAAAAATTCAACTCTCAAGTACTTTGAGGACATCATTCACGGATAATACAATTACTAAGATTTGACAAATATAGGTAATTTTCAATTAGGTGGTAGCCCGTTTCAACAAAATGCTAGTTGGGATTCTAACACCGTTATCGCGTCATGATGACACGCTATTTGCTGCAGGTAATTCAAATCCATGATCTTCAGTACATTTGGTTTCAACAAGTCGGTGTGGTGTTACTTTCAGCACGGTCCATGAAACCATCTCTTTACTGAGACAACAGTTCTGGTAAATTGAGCATCTATATTTGTGTGAAGTCACACCTCTGAACTTGGGGCTACGTTTAAATGGATAAAGATAATGTTGGAGTAATTAGAAATCAGCATTACTCTCATTGTTCGCAAGATATTACTCGAACTGCACAAGCGCGTCATGAAAAATTGGAACTCCAAAATCATTTCGGAAAAACAAATGCCATGGTTGCTTATTTTGTTTGATAATGAAGATTTTCAGCCAGCAGGCTGTTTCTACTTAATTATGCTTTTGCAAAAAGTTTATATATATATATATAGGCCTTTACGCCCTAAGCTCAATAAGTGTATTCCACCACTTCTTGTCTAACGCTCGTTTCTTCCAGTCTCTGACATGCCTGCTCCTCAAATTTTCCATAACCGCATCCTTCCATCTTCTTCTTCGTCTCCCTCTTTTCTTCTTGGTATCCGGAATTCTCCATGCTATAATGCTTTACTGTTCTTTCTTGCGGCATTCTTTTCAGGTGCCCCAGCCACTGCAATCTTCTGATCCTAGCTACTTCTACTATATTTGGTGCTTTATACAGATGATAGACTTCCGCATTAGTCCTCCTAACATACCTTCCCTCCACCTTGATCCCTCCAGATATTCTCCTTAAAATGTTTCTCTCCCACCTAAGTAATGTTTGCTCAAGTTTTTTTTACCCAAGTTTCTACTCCATACAAAAGGGTTGATGGTCGTATTGTATAGCCTTATTTTGGAGACTCTAGTTACATTTCTTGAGTTAATATTCGTGTTCAACATTCCCGCACATTTATTGGCCTTTCCGATTCTGTAGTTTACCTCTGTTTCCTCGTTTATTTTATTTTTAATCAGTGATCCTAAATACACAAACTCATTAACCTCCTCAAAAATCTTTTTTTCTGTGCTTACCATTATTTCTAACTTCGTTGTCGCCTGACATGACCCTATTCTCATAAATTTACTTTTTTTTCTCGTTTACCTTCAGTCCCATTTTTGCTGCAACTGTTATAAACTACTCTACCAATGGTACTTTTATCGCTAGCTTTTATGGTGACGTCAGTATAGGCAGTTAGTTGGTGACTTTTAAATAATTTATGCTTTGTGACCTATTCAGCTGACTGTCGATAATAATTCGTTCTAGGATCATATTGAATAAAAGTGAAGATAAAAGGTACCCCTATCTAAGTCCTGTATTAAGCTCAAACTCTTCTGTTAATGTTCCTCTTATTTTGACGATACTTCTTGTTTGTCTCAGTAATTCTTGTGAGGTTTATCAAAGTAGCTCTAAATGAATCGCCAATTTAGAGGATATTACGACCATATTATATATTATAGTTTGAAATCAGTCGTTTCTAAGACAAATCACTTCAATTTTTTTTAATGACTTGTCTGCACTAATTACTATTTTTCTTCCTAGCCAAGCCTTTACACCTGGTAGTTTTGGGCTATTCTTGGGAGTAAGTACCTATCCTTAATCGTTGATATAACTGCATACAGGGCGAAACAGCATATAGATTAATGTGGAATTTTCTCTTAAAAAAATGCTATGTACATTCTTCTGACCATATGATATCAAAACCATCTACGTTTTTTTGCCACAGTAATTAACTTTGAAGTTTTCTTATTTCGCTATTTTTGTTCAACGAACGCAGGCGCCGACGTATATGCTTTTTAATTGATAACCTGATCGGAAGAGGAAGCCTCAAGGAACGAGCGTGAATTCGCAGTTGAAGAACAGAGCAATTTACTTTCATTTAAAAATCTAGTATTTTCAAACATGGTATATTCTCCGCCTATGATCGATTCCTACCTTCCTGTCACCAAATAGTACAATTTACCGGTATACTATAATTTACGTCGCGCAACAAATAAATGCCTATAGACGTTTAGAAAAACTAGGTCACTGTCATTAAATTTCGTAATGTTTATGTACATTACGTTTCTGTCATAGTATTAGCATTTCGATGGATACAAGAAGTAACTCTTCTATTCTAAGTCACTTTTGTATGGAGAAGAACCTTCTAATATATGAATTCAGTGAGACTCAGAACTGAAAATAAAGATTACACTGTGATTAAATGTTACAGATAGAGAAGTGGCGACAAATAATTCTTTTTAAAAGACATAAGTGTGGTTTTACAATTTGTTTATCGTCTAAACCGTGAAGTTATTTTGTGTGGTGATTTAAATATGGATGCTTTTAGACTTGGTTCCGATTTCTACTTTTGGTCTATTACCTATAGGCAGTGAGCATTCATAATATTTCCCTCGTGTATAAAAATGCTCTTATGGCATCGCAAAATTAAAGCGAAAATTTCCCGTCACCTAGACAACGGGAAAATTTCCCAGTAGGTATCGAAATTTTCCCTATAGGTCCGTATCTATAGTTACGATTGATGAAATGTGTAATTGTCATCTTGACATGAATAAATATCGAATTTTAAAAGTCGTTGCAATGTCATGTTTCGAAAATGATTCTTTGATTTTAATTCAACGACAAGTAAACCTTAAAAATACAATACAATTTCGAACATAACACATACTTTTACTGTTCCAACTCAGGAAATATTCTACCGAATTACACTCCTGCAGCAAAATAGACCTGATAATTTTCCATTCAAGCATATTGTCAGTAAAAAACTGTATTCGGAGTCGGGCCGTTTCGCCAAAATATTTAAATAAACTCATGCAGTTTTTAGGCAACACGCTTTTATGAAAAATTATGGGTAATTTTGATGCACTTGTGTGATTACTTTCTCGTAGCGGAAAATTGGAATGAACTATATTCAATTTATGACTTGTATGAAGGTTTCGATTACTTTTCACAATATTTGTCATTTTCATGTAAACTTTCCGGAAAGCTCTGTAGAGGATAGAGCAAATCCTAAATGTTGAGTTAATCATGATGTAACTGAGTCGAGTGAGATTCTAAAAGATCATGTTATACTAACTAGAAACTTTCCTGAATTAAAATATGTTTATATTTCCAAAAAACGAATTCATGCGATTACTCGATTCTATCAAAGAAGTATATTCACATCTAATAGTAAATCAAAACCCATGTGTAACGTAGTGGCAGAATTGAACGGGCATACCAACAAGTATAATAAAAATATTTCTTTGGAAGTTGCTGGCAGATAATATTCAGGTATAGAATAATTACTGTAACCCCTGACTTTAATACCAATACACTATACTTGTATCAGTATGCAACTTATGAACTAGCGTCATTATTTGCACATAAGCTGAAAAATAAAGCAGCTTCGGGTCCTGATGAAATTCCTATGTTTCTTGTTAAAAGGGTACTAAATTGTATTATCATGCCACTTACTTTTCTTGTTAATTTATCTTTCACTAGTGGAAGTTTTCCTCAATCTCTTTCGGTTGGTAAAGCCATTCCCGCCTCAAAAGAGGAGTCTCCGCACGATTTAACCAATTACAGGCCAATCACTGTACCATCTAGCCTATAAAAAGTTTTTGAGTATGCCTCCTTGAGTAGATTACTTGACTTCCTAAATCAGTTCGACTTACTGACAGATAAGGAGATAAGGTTATATGGTTACCAAGAGGGTAAATAAACAATATCTGCATTGTTGGAAAATTACTATTATATTATTGAGAATCCAAATGGCGGTAATTTCCTATTTCCATTCTCTGTGATTTATCGCGTGCTTTTGATCGTGTCAATCACAAAATGTTGTTTGACAAACTTTACAAGATGGGTGTGCAAGGCAATGACTTGAATTGATTAAATAGCTTCTTAGGTAGCCGATGGCAATTCGTATCCATAAAAGATGCTGGAAAATATAATGTTGTTAGGTAAAATCTACTTGCTTAGAGGTAAATATGGGCGTTCCTCAGGGATCCATTTTAGGTCCCATACTTTTCATGCTATATGTCAATGACATAAAATACAAATTTTTTGACGATGACTTTTCCATCATTATATGGAATAACACAGTCATGCCGATTGAGGAAAAATATATAATTCAATACAAACTTCGCCGACAACAAACACCAAATTAATGACATTTTAATTAATTGAAATGGAGATATCAAAAGACCAAATAAAGCTTGTTAAATTACTCGGTCTTCTCTGATGGGTGTATTGCGACCTAATGCGATAAACTTAAAAATACTTTAAACTCTGATGTCTATGTGTTTCGTAACTTAAAAACTGTTTTCGATAGCGGCCAACTCATTAGCCTGTACTACGCCTTAATTGACAGAAAAGTAAGCTATGGAATCTGGCTTTGGAAAATCGACCTATGTAGATTCAGTTTTTATCTCACAAAACAGATGTTTATGGTTATTGCTGCTATCTCAAACACAACATCGTGAAGGGTGGTGTTTAAGAACCTTAATATCCTTACTATTGTCTGTCTCTATATTCATGAGACTTCTATTTACATCTATAAAAACTGATAAAATTCAAAAATAACTAAGATATTCATTTTAGGAATACAAGCTATAAAAATAATCTGCATATCCTTCTAGCAAGGGTAAATTAAATGTCAGTTATAGTACTCCAAAATACATGGGAGTAAGTAGTTATAATCACCTATCAACTTTAGACAACAGTTAGAGATAGCATGACTATAACATTTTTCGGAAGACGTCTTAAAGATTTTTTCGTTTCTCACCCGTATTATACTCTTCTAACTATCGGCTCGTTTCACTGTGACTGTTTCTTTTGTGCATCTTGTTTGTTGGTCGGTGCTTTTGGTTTTTTTATCACACTGTTGTACAGTCAAATGGAAAATAAAGTTGAATCTTGAATGTTTGGCTTGATGTTCCCTTTTAGTTTCTTCCGTGTGTTATTTTATAAACAATTTTGGCTGATAAATTACCTCATGAGAGTTGTTCCAATAGTACATTTAAGTTGCACGCTCACTGAGCAGAATCGACATGAAGAGAACGGAGGCGACGTTTGTGTCTCTTCCCTTCGCGTTGCTCAAATCCCCGGGCTATTATTTGATTATATGCAACGGAACCTAGCCGAAGAGTTTCGCTTCCGTTGTCTCCGCTACCCTTCCTCTCAATGGACAAGCACCTTTATGCCCAAAAAATATAAACACATGTCTCTCACTTGTCTGACGTATTGACTTATGTATATGTCATCTAACATAATTTTCTTTTTTCAGGTAAGCTACCTTTGCTATCTCTGACACGGCCGGTAAGATTTTATAAATGCTTCAGTGTCATCATTCAGTAAGAAAACCGTGATGAATTTATGCAGGTAGAGAAGAAAACTTTAGTGTCCGACCGAAACTAGGATTTCAGACGAAACCGAAACCCAAACCGAAACCTCGAACTGAAGAGTCTGATTTGGGAGGTTGGGAAGTAAGACAGTAGTGTATCTCCCAGAAAAAATAAACTCAGCCTTTATCAACTAATATTAGTAATAATTAAAGCAATTTATTATTAAAGAAAAAAAAATTTCTATGTAATATGTAATAATCAGTCTTTATCGAATGTTATGAAGATTTAGGTAAAGAAAACTAAAACAGTACTACATTTGTCTCTTAAAACAGAAAATAAATAATGTCTTCTTATTTCCAACATTTTGTAAAAAATAGACAAACAAAAATAACATCTTATGGCCTGTTGCACCAATACTATTTAACGTTAGTTTAGATGGAAACCTAGGTGAATTTGAAGATTTCTATTGCAGAAGTACTTAAGCTCCGTTTAAAATTTTGCAAACTGTGTTTAATTTAAACGATTAATTTTTTGAGCTGAAAGCTCGTCTTATTCATTTTAAGTGTTCAAAAATGGATTTTATTGGTCATGATGATATTTTAAACAATAACTTGGGTATCCTTATACTAATAAATAGTGGTTTTTTATAAGAATTATTCAAAGACCAAAAACAAAAACTATTTTCAAGAGATTAGTAACCGTGGCATTTTTTAAGAAATTTAGTTTGCACAGTTTTGAATATTCTGCCTGAAATCGAGCCAGCACTGGAAATTATCGAAAATTTGTGAGTTATCTACCATTTTGAATTACATGAAAAAAGATCTTAGATTTCTGTAGTCTTACAAAACTCAGATTCAGTGTTGGTGCTACATGCCATTAGAACGTAATCTAATAATCATAATTGAATGGTAGGACATTACATGACATGAATAACAATTTTTCAATATTTTCCATTAGCTGACTTTTGGTCTGAATAAATTTGCCCGAAGGCGCCCGATAACATACGAACATGTCGGTTTCGGAAACTCTGATTTTGACCGAAACTGGCCAAAACCGAAACCAAAAGTTCGGTCGGACACTAGAAAACTGCAGAATTATCTTACGATCATTTTACCTTAATGTAAATTTTAATTGAACACCTCGGGAACATTAACAATTTTAAAATGATATGTAGGAATTCTTCATCTGTGGTGCCTTTTTGCGGCCAATAAAACACGGAGGTTAACCACTTGGCGCTTTAATAAGATAAGAGCGATGCATTTGTTTGCTACTGGCATATCATCGCAAATGTGTTTGGAATTGGATTAAGATCAGAGGCGAGAGAGATGGAATGGAGGTCATAGCCCCGGTAGTAGATCATCCAGTTTCCACCTATAAATAGAAATATGTCGCCTGAATGGACGGCACAACGTCGTATTCGCTCTCTGAGATGGCGGACATTGGAGTCTTGAATATTGGGTCTAGTCCGATCAAGCTGGATGGAAAATCGCAGTAATTTTGGTGGAATATTGGATGTTTTCGTCCACTAAGCGAATCATATAGAACCAGACTATAATCGTATAACATCCTAGCATGATATTCTATGTTACACTCCAGTGAGGAAAGACCCTAATAAAAAGACAGATCCTAATTAATGTAAGCATACACATTCCTTTCGACACTTTTCTGCATGTGAGACACCCTGTAAAAGGTTGAATTGGCACTTGTAATGCTAAGAAAGACTTTGCTACTATACACATTTCAACAACAACATACGACACTGGTAAATTTTACGGGTATTCGTGAAAACAAGCGCACGCTGAGGCACAGGCCCTCTTGGTTCATTCAGATATTCTTCTAACATTTAATAGGTTGAAGTTGAGGTCAAGGTTCGATCAATAAATCGGTGTAAGTATCTTTTATTGTTTTGCTGTACTGCGTGTTATGTGTATTTTCTAACCAGTACTCTTATATCTCTTATAATCACGAGAATAATTGTCATAAGCCAAAAACAACCAGATGATATATGTTTATCAACAGGTAAGATAAAGTTAGAGGTAACTTAGAATCAAACAGAGGGGGGTAATTACTGCTCGGTTCCCGCTGTCAGGAGAAATGTCAGAGCATTTTGGATAATGACAAAGGGTATCCTGTGTAACCACCTAGCTTCCTCTCGTAGCAATCGGTGGAGTCTGAAAGTATCTCATGGCAGGATGTGTATAGGGATTGTTACTTTAAAGTTGTTATGTTGCTCGGTTATCTCTGAATTAGAGGTAACGTCGGAACTTTTTGGGTATTGACACGCCACGTGATATCTTGGTTTCTGGATTGCTTTGCGTAACAGTAAAAAAGTTGGCATATCTGTCTAAGCACCATATTATTAAGGTATCCATATCGGGCGTGACTTCCAAGCAGCAGAAAGTTACCGTTCCCCCGTGCGAGGTATTTCCTTATGAGGCGTGACTTCCACGCGGTAGGAAGCTACGGTTCCCCTGGTTATGGACATAGGTCTGACTTCCATGCGGTAGGATGCTACCGTTCCCCCATGCAATATGTTTTAATATCTGATAATATAATTGAGAAGTAGCTAATTAACTTAATCAATAGTCAGTAGACATGTGCATGTCATGAGTTGGTAGAATATGGGAGGTACTCAAAAGGTTTTTCCCAAAAATCGGTCTGGCCCCGACAACGCACTTCTATCGACCCCATCTCTTGCCAAGGAAGGACAATTAATCTGTCGTTACGTTACCAAGTAAGTGGCTTTGAAATTATCCTGACATTGAAGCCCTTGTTAAGTTGTTTGTGTACTACCCTCGTAATAAAAGTGGAAAGGTACAGGGTAGCACTTCGCTTGTAAGTTGGGATTGTCGTTTTTCACGTTTATCGTTCTTTCTATTATCATCGTCTGTTCCTATATAAATCAATAGTGTGTTCAATTATTTAATGTCCCTAGTTTTGGAATGTCTTGTATTACGTAACGTCAAAAAAAGACTAATTGTTAACTTGCTGACTAGATAGTTCCTAGTGTGCAAATAGTTCATTCCGCGTTTGCTCGTTATGAGCGCTGTGAGCGTCACCAAAAGCGTCAACTAAGGAGGAATGACACAACGACACCACACGCTCAATGACCATGCTGATAGTCTGTAGAGTGTATGTCTGTGAAGATGTGACAGAAAGAAAATTGGTTGAGGAGCAAGTTCGCATCTGAATGATTATATGGTGACTGTGAGTATTGGCCTGCACGTGTATAAAATCAATGATATTCGGTATGTGAGAAAATTATTACTGAATATGTTGCCCGTGAAGTATATCTATTAGCTGGACCAGACGGGTTATTTGTGTCTATCTTTCTGTAGTTTATGTTCAGTTAGAAATTGCAGTTTTATCCGGATTATTTGCGTTTTCAAAAACTTCGAGTAGCGTTACTGGAAATTACAACTGCGCCCGCGACGTGTGTAATCAAGCCACATCACAGAAAAATTAGGCATGACGCATCACACACAACATTTTCACAGTGCCTTAATATTCAACTATATGAATGTATGAATAGCGAAAATTTTGAACCGTTCTGAAGCAATTCTAATCCAAGTTGTCAAAATGTCCCTGATGAGCAACAATAAAATTTATGGAAACAAGCAATATCTAAGGAATGTTTGATAGAAAGCCTTTCTCATCATCTAGGTATTTGAAAGCTATCTCCAAGTGTCCTTATACGATGAAACCACACGGTTTTGTTCCCAAAACTTCAATGGTATTGGTTGCAATATATTTTACGGGTGGATGTTAAGACTCATTGGTTATATACAACTAACTGTTTTGCTCTAGTACCCTATTGGGGAAAAGTAACAAACCCTTAAAATTATAGTTATTCTTGAATCAATCAATTTGAAACCTTTATTTTATATAGATTGTATATAAACAATGAAAAACAAAAATATATTGCTTCTACATAAATTTAAAATATGTACTTCTTACGAAAGGGGTGAAATACGAGGAGGATAGGGGACGCAGGCTGAAATCCTCTTGCAAAGTATTATTATAATTATGAGATATAGTGTCTTGGCTGGCAGATCATATGATCTAATTTGGTCTAGTTCGGCTTCACTGATTTGTCTTGCTCGGTGTTTTTAACAAATTCCTTCTACGCCTGGTCCAGGCGTGTTGCCACACTGTCCTTTTGTAGAATCTGCTGAAGTATGGCGTCTCGGATGCAGTAGAGGAACTACCAGGATTTTTTTATATATACATCTTTTTAAGGTACCTCTTTGATTTAAGCATGTCATTTTTACCTATGCGTGGGAACACAGCAGTAAGTCCGTATGTTAGTACCGGGTAGATGCATGCTTCACTTATTTTCAATTTCACTTCTATAAAAACATTCGGGTTGAAGCCAATGACTGTAGACAGAGCGTATGCTGTTCGATTAGCCTTAAGGATTCTTCCCTTAATGAGGCCGTCCATGCTTACTGTTTTATTAAAATTGCGTCCAAGGACGGGGGTTACGACTGTTCGCTCCCTACTCCGCCAAACTTGGTTAAGGGTTCGATCGTGCTCGTCCAAAGGCAATACACTTAGTTTTCTGCTTATAAGCCTCTTTCGCTCATGTATCCAAATATTTCTTCCATTGCCCACTTTGCTCTCATGATGGCCGTTTTGCTGTTTGGATTAATAGCACGCATAAATCATCTGCGTATTGTGACATCGTTTGTCCTCCAATGTTTTCTACCGGCAGATCAACAACGTATAGATTCCATAGGTACGGTCCGAGGATAGATCCCTGTGATACTCCGTAGCGTTGGTGGTATATTTTTGTTTTGGCATAATTGTTTCTGCCGCGTATTTGTCGGATGATAAAATAGTTTTCTATAATTTTGTTAAAATCGTTAGGGATCTCCGTTTGTTGTAACTCATAAATAAATGCACTATGAGTAATAGAGTCAAAGTATTTTGAGAGATTGGTTGTCACCGGTGCTACATGACGTCGTTGTCTAAGTGCATCTGTAATGACCAACTGTTTGGAAAAGATGCGTTTGTGTTCTCTTGTATTCTCTATATTCTGGAATTCTTTTACCGATACTAGGCATGATTCGTTCAAGTATAATTTTTTTGCATTTCACCCATTATACACATATGGAGCAAAGTAATTGGCCTGTATGATCTTGGTAGTCTAGGATCTTTATTACCTTTATGGAGGAATTTCATTTTTTTTATACTCCAACTACCACGAAGGCCTAAAGGCCTAAGGCTTAAGCACC